TGGTATCACTCGGCCGGGGTTCGAATCCACGACCTCCCGCATCCGAGGTGGACGCTGCAACCACTAGGCCACGGGAGCTTTTAATAATAATAATAATAATAATAATAATAATAATAATAATAATAATAATAATAATAATAATAATAATAATAATAATAACGATTACTTTATATAGCGACTAATCTTTAGAAGCTATAAGCGCTTTAAAACATATGACAACACTTAAAAAGAAAAAAAAAACATATAATGATATGATTACAAAAAAAACAAACACAAAAAAGAAACAGAAAATAAAGCTGTAAATTTTTAATTTCCCTTTATCCGAAGAAAAGAGATCCAATAATATAATTTCAACCACAAAGTTTGTAAATATATATATATATATATATATATATATATATATATATATATATATATATATATATATATATATATATATATATATATATATATATATATATATATATATATATATATATATATATATATATATATATATATATATATATATATATATATATAAGCTTTACTTGAAATGCTTTCCAAGAGTCGCATAGATTTCTACATCTGGTAAATTCACAAATATGACAGAAAAGCGAGATTGCTGCCTTTGGTACATGACTCATACATTTCGTGCGGAAAAAAAAAAGAATCCGATGGTAGAATGCTTCTACCTTATGGAAACTTTCGGTAATTACATTAAAAAGGTTAACAACCCGTGTGTTTAAATAAAGTTAATATCTGTGCTTTATATCTAAGCCTTTCAAAATTGTATTTGTAGAAAGAGATAAATAATGTAAACCAGGTGCGTGATACTGAAGTTTTGACAGATGTGCTTTCATGAAAATTTAGGCATAAAATTTACACAAATTATGACTACTGCGATTAAATTAGAATCAAATTTATCATCATCCAACGAAATTTGCAAATTTTTTAAACATAGTTGCAACTAAGTTTATATAAATAAAGGTTTAAGAATTACATTAACGTACAAGTCTACTAAGTTTATAGTTGCCGGCTGCATGTAAATTTAATTTACTATCTCAGATATTCTTTATCAGATAGAATGAAATGCAATCAACCAGCCTTTGGTTTGTAGCAGTCTGCAAACAAAGAATGTGATATTCACGAATTAGGTCTGGAAAAACGGCCTTGGTGGCTCAGTTGGACGACTCTTAATGCAAGGGTCGTCGGTTCAATACCCACATAGGCAGGCCCGTTCGGCCGTCTCTGTGTATCCTTGGAAAGACACCTAACTCCAATTTTCTCAGCATGATAGAGTCATGCCTGGCGTAGAAGTGCCGTTTAAATGAACATTACCAAAGTCAAACTAAGTATTACCAACATAACCAAGACTAAACAAGGTACAGCTTAGGGCCCCAAAGTCTGAACTCAGTCTGAAGCCCCCCCCCCCTGAATTTATTTTATACCAAATATGGCCTCTATAGCTTCCTGTAGCTTAGGGCCTCGCTTTGTCTAAATCCGGCACTGACTGGAGGTTATGGACACATCCTAAAACTATTAATGTTTTCTAAATGAATGAAACATGTCAACTGAAATACATATAGGACTCATCTCTTTTATTTCTTAAAGGAATCTACATACGCTTTTAAATTTGACGGCAATGTTTGTCAAGTACAAGGACGCTAAACAAATATAGCTTTTGGTGTCAGTGTGCGCGTCCGTAATACCACTGAATAACCTTAATATTTTCACATCCCTGTTATTTCAATGCCATTTTATCCCACCCTCCTCATGATAAAACTTGAGGAGTGAGTTCGAGATGCAGAAAATGTCCAACGTCTTGTTTCCTATTCAGCCTAAAGCAGACCTTCCCATCCTCATTTGCATAAGGATCTTTACTAATGCTGTAAATCTGTGGTTTTCAAACTTTTTTCCCTCGCAACCCAGTTGAAGAAAGTTATATATGTAAGCGACCCAACAGTTATATCTTTTGACTAGATTTTTCATTGAAGTATTGAATTACGTTTGAATCAGTAAAGCGATCCAGTGCCTGACATTCTCTGACCCAGTATTTTGTAAGCCACAGCTGTAAAGACTGTTTGATTGAATACAGTTTAAAGTTTATATTCTTTCTTACAGACCATCTGTAGTTTAATACGTGAGTATTCATGCGCAGATAAATTTGGCTGTCCGCCATGCATGAAATAACGTCTATCGAGATAATACTTTTGTTGGGAGAGGATGAGATCTCGCAAGTCAAACAAGTTGTTGAAGTATATTTGAAAAGACTCGCATCAGTGTATGAAGATACTGAAGATAGTGAAGAAAGTATGTAAATACCAGCAGTCAATTTTTGTTTATTATTGTCATTCATCTACAGTTATTCGTTACATACACCTCCATAAATTATTGGACAAGATGAATGAACTGCATCATAATGTTCTTTCAATCCCATTTATAAAACCGTTTTAGCATGACGTCAACTATTTCCCAACATCCGAAAGGTAGATCAACCAGAAAACCCATTTCAAAACTCTTTATCTCATCTTTCAATATGTCTCGCTTGCATTACGTTTTCGTTACTAACATAATTTTGTTTCCACCATAGCATAAAAGGATAAACTATATTTTGTACAATGGTAAATGATAAATATTGGCAAATGTTTTTAATGTAAACCAAAACCTTATTGTTTTCACATTATGTGATACTCATGTCGATGCCTATTGAAGAGGTGGTAGCGACTGCGACATACTGATGATCATAATTAAAATTATGACGACAACAAAAAAAACCAAGAAAACTCTTAAAACTGATGGACAAAACTAAATCCCAGTCCATGGTATAATACAATTTGAATAATAAAAGCTGTATTTCTTTATTTTGAAATTACATTTGTGTAGGATTACATTTAGTCCAAATAATATTGATCGAGTTTGCTTTTGCTCCATCTATTCGAGAGTTAACTGGCAAACGAAGGCGATTTCCCACCACTGCTCATTTAAAATTGTGATATATATATAGTTATTCGAGTTAATATGGACCTTGGATTCCTCTGATTAGGCCATAGTACCATGCTAAGCTCATCAAGTGCCATTTGACAGTGTATGGAGTCAATCATGCAGATGCATAATCGATCAAACAGACACTAATTGCTACTCCTTTTCAGTTGATAGGATTACCGGTCATATAGAATAATCTGCCTGTAGTATAATCTCAAAGTACTTTCTTTCGTGATGAGTAAACTTTAAGATTGATGCATTGGTTAGTCCCGCAATAACTTGTTGCAATAACTTGTTGACTGTGAGGGATAGAGTCTGTTCTGCTTGGGACATGAAATAAATTTAATTAAGATTCTCTCGTTAACATTTAGGAATAAACAAGGGTGTAATGCTAAGGTGAGGTCGTGTAACAGTAGGTGAGAAAATTGATGTAATCCAGGGGGTGGGGAGGGGGATTTTTAGGAAGTTGTCCATTTGAAATATGTCTCATAAAATGTTATTTTCAAGAAACGATATTAAAAAAGACGGTACATATGGACTTATTCTGACTTATATGGGAGTGACATATATTGATTTTTGTCGGGTAAAGTAGTAATCGTGATTGGCTAAGCTAAATGAAGGTTTGCATTGCCAGACAGAATTCAGGGGTTTGAAAATTGTTCCTCTCATGGAGCTAATCAGATCAACAATTTCTGCCTGAGGGATTTTGATGTCAGTAGAGAGTACTTTTCACATTAAATAAATCTTAATAATACGTGTCAGAAAGTGGAACTAAGAATCGAATCGACTTCATCGGTTGTTTTGAATTTCGAATAAAGAACAAAGGTTAGTCTCAATCGCATGTAAGGTATATTCATTGATATAAGTATGTAATTATTGTTCAATATTTTATTTTAAATTCACACTTCAATTTTCACCGAGTTCAGAAATAGAAAGTATATGTTTTATGATTAATGTTTGTTATGAATGAGTTCTGATTGAGCGGTTTGATGTGTTATGTGATTCATATATTATCAGATTTCATGTATTTATTCTGACGTAAATTGGGGTGACTAAGTAAATTGCCTGTCTTAAATGATTCATATTATTTATGCTTTGGATTCACTAATCAGAAAAGTAAAGTTGTTAGGACAAGGAGTGAAGTCCATTAATTCGTGAGTAATTAAGTTGCGAATTCTTTCCAAATGAATAGATGGTGTAAAACGCGTGCCGACTGATAAGCCAGCTGGTGAAAGTATAGCCCAGTGGGACAATGACCGTACAAGAGAGGGCTAATTATTTCATACAAGAGAGGGCTAATTATTTCATGTTACATAGTTAAGAATAGGGTAGCCGCTCACAAGGCAATGATTACGATGGTAGGTTGTTTGTGTATTTGGCGAATGATGCTAATTTTGTTGAATTTGATAGACTATATATCTGAAGAATAAGACTGTGAATATATATATATATATATATATATATATATATATATATATATATATATATATATATATATATATATATATATATATATATATATATATATATATATATATATATATGACAAATTTCCTCTGACCTTTTCCTCTCCGTGTAATTTGTTTATTCTGGTAATGTTCTGAATACCAAAATGATCATTCTACTCTTTTCAAATCCGCTGGTACTTCAGACCGATTCGCGTTCTTGCATCGTATAAGCGATCTACATAAAAAGTACAAAGTGCAGTTGTTCGAGCCTTAAGAAGAGTTCATAAATTACCGTATATACTCGCTTACAAGACTCATTCACCTACAAACTGCACAGAACTAGACCCGATGTGTCATAATGCGCCGGCAAAGCTGTGGTTGTGCAGTTTATTAGGAATAATCAGAAAAACAAGCAACCTGGACTTTGATCTGAGGCGTATTACGTTACGCCAGACCCGGATCTTTGTTGTGTGCAGTTTGAGTCATAAGCGAATACATACGGTATTCATTATTTGTTCGCAATGGACAGATTGGGAAAGTAATTATTGTACAATCAAGGAATAAATTCTGCATTAAATTATTCATATGACGCAATTAACACTGCATCTTCTCTCATTAAATTCAATAAACTTCCATCATTTTGTAGCATTTTCATTGGATTCTGTC